TGACAGAGGAAATTAATGACCCTATAAAACAAGGGGTCCTTAAAATCACATGTATGAAATGAACTCATTTATATGTCTATATCCACAAAGAAATATATGAAGGTAACCTCACTAAATTATTAAGTTATTTAAGAGTAATGGCTTTTCAAGTGATAGTCATTAACACGTTGATGTACAAAGCCCCTACAAATCAGAACACATAACACTGACACAGCACACATATGGGTTGTAAGAAAAAAGAAAATGCAACTCAAAGTGGCTTAAACCAAAACGGAATTTATTGGCTCACATAAGTGAAAAGTCCAGAAGTAGTCTGACTTCAGGTCCAATTTGATCCAGAGGTTCCAGATTGCATCAGGGCTCCAAATTAGACTCCCTCTCATTTTCTTGGTACTGCCCTCAGGCAGGCTCCTTTATGTTAGAAAAATGAGCTGCAGCAAGTTCAGAAGGTGAATCCTCACACCACACTACCTCCAAGGTGTCTTCATCAGCAGTTTCTGAAGAAGCCTCAACAAACATCTTGTATCTAAGTAGCTTGATTTGCGTCAGGTGCCTATCCCTGAACCATTTATTATGTGTGGGGGCCGGGGATGGGGTTGGGGCTGTGGCACTGTTTAAAGGTAACAGGCTAACTCTAGAGCTGGAGGTGTGAAAATCCCATCTGAACCACATGTGTGATGATGGTAGGCAGTTATCCAAAGAAAAAGCTGGGTGGTACTGTGAGAGAAGGAAGTGGATGCTGTATGGACAACCACAACATACATGAAGAGAAAAATTTTTAAATAATATAAACATCCAATAAATATTAAAAGTGCTCAATCTCACTAGTATTCAAAGAAATACAAAAAAATTACATAATTTGTTATTAGGTTAATTAAAAAAGAAAAAAATGGGGGCCAGCCGAGTGGCTCAGTTGGTTAAGAGCTTGCTAAAGAGTGCGAGCTCTGAGCAACCGTGGTTGCTGGTTTGATTCCTAGCCCGAGCTGTGTTGCCGCTGGGCTGCCAACAGGTGGCAGGATGGCTCAGTTTAAAAAAAAAAAGTTTGTGTGTGAGAGAGGTGATGGGGAGCAGAACTGAGAATAGGACCTCACACTGCTATTGAAAATGTGCGTGTGTACAAAACAGCTTTAAAAGGCACTTAAGCAAACTTTATACATAATCAGAAACATTACTGGTTCCTAAATATGAAACAAAAAGCTAGCAACAAATAGTAAACTTTAAAGCCCCATAACTTAACAGAACTTGACTACCTTTCCCCCTCCTCCAACCTGATAGATGTTTCCATCTTGGAAAAAAAAAATCAGGGATTCCTGGGTAAATCTATGTTCCTTAGCTCCAAGTCTTAGCCAACAGATTGACTTAGCCAATCTATTTCTATTCTCTTCTTTCAACATTCCTAGACAAAACCCTGCATGAAGTCTATAGTTGATTTATCTCAGAATAGCTTGGGTCAGAACTAATAAAATGTCTCCTGAAAACTAACTAAATGCTTTTACCCCATATCCAACTAAGGAAAATACATGAAAGACAAAAAACTTCCTAAGTATGACTGTTAAACAACAAACGAACAAGACAAACAAATAAGAACTCACAGACACAGACAATAGTTTAGTGGTTATCAGAGGGTAACGGGGAAGGAGGGTGGTAGAAGAGGGTAATGGGGGTCAAATATATGGTGATGGAAGGAGAACTGACTCTGGGTGGTGAACACACAATGCAATATATAGATGATGTATTATAAAAATGTACACTTGAAACCTGTAGAATTTTACTAACCCATGTCACCCCAATAAACTTAATAAAAAAAGAACCCCAAGGGACAGAAGCATAATTCTTGAATACTGAGAAAACTTACAATCTAGAATACCTAGAGGATTTTTCCAGTTCATGTAAAAATCAGAAAAAAATATACACTAAACTGTATTTTAAGATGTGACAGAGATGAGGTAGATCTGTGCCATCCCACAGGTAGAATAAGTAGTGGTGTAAGAAGGATGCTCTTATAAGCTATGGGGCCAGTCCCATACTTTATACAGAATCATGTATATTAAGTATGCAAACTACAATGAATCAAAATTAAGTCCAATTCCACTGCACTCCATGAGAAAGTCAACACCGAGTGTGAATTTGTAGATGGCAACTAAGTACTTGAAATGAAAATACTTTCAGATTTCCATTTTTAACAAAAGACTGTTTCTAGGTTTAATTTCTTTTCTCAAGTCCAATTACAAATAGGAGGTTACGGTGCTGTTAAGTCCCCTAACTTTGTACTATTCTAAGTCAGATATTTTCATTCTACCCTGAGAAGGTAAAAGAACTAAGAGACAACCTACCTTAGCTTTTAGGTCAAATGACTAACACAGTTGGCTTACATGGATGGGATTTACTCTATAACCAAAAAAATCTGAACTACTTCTACTATACATTAAAAAAAGCGATTAAGAAACAGGAACTCTCTCAACCCTGCTGCGTTCAAGCACAGAGCTAGTAACTAGCCACAGCAAAAGGAGCAGTGGTAAAGAGCATGGAGTCAGCTGTGAAGATGCCTTGACTGGAATCCAGCTCCATCACTGATTAGCTATGCGATCTTACGGAAGTTACCTAACCTACCTATGTTTCATTATTCTCATCTTTAAAATGGGCATAATAGGAGTACCAACTAATCTGCTAAGGTTGCTGTGAGGTTCATGATAATCCGGCACTTGGAACAGCACCTCTCACCAAGGAAGCTTTCAATAAATGCTGTTAGTCTTAATATAAATTGAATAGTTATTTGTTTGTTTAGGTCTGTATCACTACTCCTAGAACTCAAACCACTATGTCCTAATTTGTTCTAATCTGCATCATGTGCAGAAGGCACTTTAAAATGACTTCAAATGATCGAGAAAGAAAAATTAACAAAATCCTCAGTTATTTAAGTGACTAATTTTGGAATATTACAAGTACTTCACTTAGAAAACCTCCACTATGAAACAAATAAGCTTGCAACAAAATAGTAAAGTGAAAACCACAGAATGTAATAGGACTTGAATAACCCTATTTAACACTATACGACTAAGTTGTCGAAAAGTCATGATGTATTTTTTATTTTTCGTTGCAAAAATGCGTCATGACTTTTCTGACAACCCAATGTAACAGATGTTCCTCAGCTGACGAAAATAATAGGGAAATGTATAATACTTCCTGTACAAATGCATCTAGGGAAAGCAGGCTATATTTATTCAAAAACTATAAAAGGTTGCAATATAAATCAAACAAAATTAGTTTTTAAAAGTTAAGTGACTCATATGTATCCAAATTCTGACCAAATAAAGAAAACAAATGAATGCACAGAAAGGTTACTATATAGTCCAAGGAGCAAAAAGCAATAAACAGAAATGTCTTGTTAATATAGACACTACATAAATATGTAAATCTACAGTTTTAACATAACACAAATAAATCGTAAGTACAAGTGTTGGCTGCCTTTTTCTCCAACATTAAAGCACTAAATGTTTCATACTTGGTAAAAACATACATACTGTATAAAACTTTAATCACATGTAATGTACAAGTGTGAACCAAGTGCGAGGATGGACATTTCAGAAAGAAGACAACTTGAAGTAAATCCATTGTCACATGTATTGCAAAGGTGACTCACAAAAACGTTTATCATTTGCAACTGTATACAGAGAACTGCCCAGAAATTAATATCAGAATCTTACAAGGGTCCTGCCTGAAAGGAAAATTACTTATTTGGGGGCTTAAATAGAACAAATCAATGTAAATTAAATAACACATGAGTGAAAAAAATATACAGTGTACAAGAGCAAGAGGTTAAGAAAATGAATACTGTGGAAAAGATTTATTAGTCTGTACCAGTTGGTTTTGATAAACTATTGACTACTTGTTACAGTAAATAACCAAGATTTTCATTGCAATAGTTATTTTCCCACATACATAAAAATCTGGAAGCAATATGCATTCCTCAAATTGTCATTTAGAGTTTTGTTTCTTTTTTTTTCCCCAACCCTCAAAACACAGATACAGGTTTCTGAATATCAAGAAGCCATTTATGGAAGTCATAAGATACAGATATTCATAAACATTACACAGGCTACAGGTGAGGTACTAGACAAACACCACCAACATTTATGGGAAAAGGTGTTGGTTTTAAAAGTGGCAAGTTCTAATATGAGCCACATAAATACATTATTCATGTCCTCCCAAAACAAAAAAATGGGGAAAAACCTTATTGCCATTCTGCCAAACACCACATAACTCAAAATGCTGCGCAAAGGGTCATGAATCCAACGTACGTATCACAGAATTAAAACACCAATTAAGTAACTGAGCTACTCATTGAAGTAAATTAAAAAGACCAAACTTCTATAACATATCAATGCTATTTTAGAAGCATCATCAGAACAAACAGATTTAATTAAAAATTGGCCTGGACTGCATACTGTAAAGAGAATTTGAATTAGTACTAAAAGAATCTGTCGGCAAACATCCTAGAAAAGCGGTGGAATCATGCTCTTTGTTATTCCTAAAGAAATCTGCCAGGGTTTTGAGGCTACCTGTGTATCTCCCAGTGGTTCCAGGAGTTCTACATTCCAATTAATTCACTAATTGATAGGAGTATTTATGAGAAAAGGAGACCAAAAGTAGATCTTGTTATCAACATATACTAGATAGATGGATATTTTTTAAATCACATGATAAATGTAAAATCACAAAATCAAATGTATTTATAAACATACACCTATGGTATGTTACATAAAAAACTGTGGACTGCAAACTGTGCATGCTTACCATAACATTTTACCTGGGAAAGCCGATGAGTGGGATTTCTTGCAAATATTTACTGCCATGATACAAAACAAATATGTGCAAACTGCAAGGTCCCTAAAATAGCAGTTAATATACAGAAGGATGAGTTTATATACAGAAAGATGTCACTATCTGATCAAATATGCAAGAGATGGTGTTTCCCAGAGTTTATAACACAGAACAATAACCTCCACAGGCTCCTCCATGGCCTTCTTCCCTGTGTGACAGTTTCACTCCTTTATTCTGGCTCTCACTTTCCCACAGTCCAGGTGTCTGAATGATCTTTTCAACCAGTTCCTCAAAGGCACACTGTACACCATCACAGGTTTTTGCACTTGCCTCTGAAATTCAAGGAAAAATGTCACTGTATGTTCTTTTCTGGTCATACTCCTATGTTTTTCTGGGAAACTATTATGGCATAATATCAGCTGACAGTATCTAAAGAGCCAAGTCAATTTCCCTTCACAGGTTTAATATTAGTGAATTTACCTCAACTCTCAAAGTTGAACTTTGTAAATTCTACCCATAAGAATAGTGGTATATAAGCCCAAGAATTGTGATAGAACTGCAAATTGTGAAGTCCTTCTCAAATATTAAGTTCTTGTCTTAATTTTTCAGTTAGTTCTTAAAACTAGCCCCCAAAGCAGCATTATTCCTATTTTAGAATAAGGAAACTGAGCTCCAGGTTAAACAGTTAATCTGGTTGTTCTGTGCCTGCAACCAAGCAGCTATAGGTGGTTGGGTAAATGACATACAACCATGAACACTGCTCTCATTTTAAATTTATGCTCATGAAACTCATGTGGACATATCATCCTGCTCCCCAAGCCTCCACTTCCCTAGTGATTACCTTTTTCACTGCCTAAGATGACTGTTGTATTCCTTCATCTTAAAACTCCTCTCTCATCTCACGATCTAGTATTGTGTTGAGAAAAACAGAAGCAATCTGGCAATAACTACCGACGATCCCACTAACAGATTTACCAAGCTACCTGCAGATGTAGGCTCATGCTCTGCCTTATCTCCTATTACAATGGACAAACTCTCCCTGCTGCTATCTCAGGCCCCTCCCCTTTTCCAGGGCATGGGATCCCATTCCTTCTCATTCACGGAAGGATCATGTGCCCTCACTATTGGGTCATACCAGCCAGCTTAAAAGCCTGCCAAACTTATTGTCTATCCTATTAACCAACCAACCAACTTGCCCTCCAGTTCACATCTTCTTCTAGCAGCCACCCAGTTTCTCCACTCTCTTTCAAAGCAAAATTATAAAGGGTTATCTACATAAGCCGTTTTCACTTATTATCTCGCCTTCTTTCTTCAAACTACTCTAATGAGGCTTTGTTCCCACCACTCCATCGAAACTATTCCTTTCCCCCGACAACCCCTGCCTGGTCCAGTCCAATGTCCTCACTTGATCTGACACCGTGCAGCATGTGATATAGTTGGTCACCTTCTTTCTTTAAATACTTTGTTCAGTTGACTTGTCCAGGGCACTGAGCACTCCTGATACTCCTCCTCTCACTGGCCTGTCACTCACAGCCTTATTTGCTGGCACCTCCTCTTTCGGCTGCCCTCTAGCTGTTGGAGCACCCCAGGATTCAATCTTCAGCACTTTTCTATAGTTTTTTCCTGTAGTGATCACTCCAATCCCATGACATTAAATGCTACCTAGATGCCAATGACCAGCACGTCCACTGTTACCTGGAAGACAGCTCCTTCATATGTTTAAGCAGAGTGCTTGATTCCCTACTCCCCTACCCATACCCGTTATCTCAATCTTCTACATTCGGGTTAATGGCAGCACAATCCACCTAGTTTCTCATGCCAAAAACCCAAAGTTACCCTTGATTCTTCTCTTTCCTTAGTCTCCACACCCAATCTATCACCACTGCCTGTCAGCTTTACCATCAAAGTATCTCGCAGATCTGCCAACTTTCCACCACCCACCACTGCAACCGTCGTCAAAGCCACCAGCACCATTCATCTCGGCTACCGTAATAGAATAACTAGCCTATTGCTTCTGCTTCTCATGGACCATTTTCTACACAACTGGAATGATATATCCCAAAAGGAATGATTTGATGGTGTTCTGTATGACTTCACATAATGTGATCCTATATACATTTTTTTTTAAAGAAGGAAAAATAAAGAACCTAATTCCATAGTAAGAGTTTTATAACGCGAGGCAACTACGAAATACATATATTTTATGATTTATAAAGAGAAAAATTCAGTAGAAACTCCATTTCTAAATTCCTCATTAATAATTAAAGGATAAATATTCACAAACCTACCTATAAATAACATGGAATGCTTTCGTGCAAATTTTAGGCCTTCTTTTCTATCGACTTCACGGTTTTCCTAAAAGATAAATGCAAAGATTAAGAAAAGCTACCAAAATATACAGCCAAAATGCCAAGTGTCTAACTTCTTACCTTATCAATTTTATTTCCAACTAGCATGTTTACTATGTCATTTCTGGTGCAGTATGTTTCCAATTCATTTAACCAATTATCCAGTTTAACAAAGGTGTCTCTTCGGGTGACATCATAAACTAAAGTAAAAAGAGTTATTTATTAAACAAGCATTTAAAATAAGAAGCAATGATATTATATTTCTGAAATGTAAATAGAAACTAACATTATTATATAGACAAGTCTGTAGTTTTTAAGTCTCCCATGTTTAATAATCAGTGTCTGCTGATCCTGATGGAAGAAACAGATGTATAAAAAAAAACCAAACATACATTTACATGCACACACACACTTTAATTTTATTAATACACATTGTGAGAGAAACGAAATTATATCCTGTGTAATAACTGAAAATGAACTTAAGCAAAACAACAGCTGCTCCCATTCCTAACCAAAAAAAAGTTTGTTCAGAAACCAATGTGTTTAGATTCAAATCTGTAGCAAGATACCAAAAAATTTTATATGAATTTAAACATCTCTGAACCTGTTCATTTATTTCTTACAATGATCAGAATTTGCAACTTCGAAAAACTACATAAAGTTAGATGGAATCCTGATTGTCTTCCTGTTATCACTTTCATCTTATTCTGCATTATAATAAAGAGCTTTATGAATTTGCAGTGTTTTCTAAACTTAGAAGATGCTAAACCCAAAACAATAAGAGTCATTGTGAATTAACAGAAATATTAATAAAACCAAAGCCTCACAAGTCATGATACGAAAAAAGAATTCTCCCTACAATTGATCAATATCTACTTTAAACAGTTTCCCAGGAGCATTAAGAACAAGCACTTTCCAACAAATTATACTGAGAATCCACATTTGATTTTTAAATTTTGTGTGATTATGAATCAACAGTGTTAATTGCTTTGTGCTATTTTTCCAGACTGATAAAAACAGATTCCACTAAGCAACACTCTTCTTTTATAAACTGCAGCAAATACATTAACGTGCTGCTAACTGAAGATTAGTTTCTGGTAATACTCTAAAAGAGATGAACTATTAACATATGTGCATTAATCCTCACGTCCTCATCAACATGTGCTTTAAAAGCAGATAAGTCAGTCTGATCTTTATTTTCTAATTGCCAGACAAAGAAATTTTAAAAGTTTAAATATTAATTAATTAAATGAAGTTACTACAACTTCAAGTTACATAAGAGTAGCCCTAGAGAAAAATAAAACAAAAACTTATTAACCTTCAAAGACAAGGAAAATCAGAAACTGCAATAATAAACAGTTTTTTTAAAAGTATATTAAAGTAAAAACTTACCTAATATAACACCCTGTGCACCTCTATAATAGCTGGGAGTTAATGTTCTGAACCTTTCTTGACCAGCAGTATCCTAAAAGTGACAATCAATTACTATTATATAAAACAAAGTATAAATAACATTCAACACACTAATTTAAGATAGAAAGTCAAACAGCATTATTAAAAATATCAATGCAGTTCATTTAAAACTTGAAATTTTAATAAGATGTGTTCTCTTACAAGTGTTACATTAAATAAAATTAAATACTGACTCATCTTTATGCAACTAAGTAAAGGTTTTCTACCACTTTGGATTTAGAGTTTTATCACATAGGAAACCCATTTCATTGAAAGCCATGGTTCTCAACTCTGGCTGCACAATGAAATTTCCTGGGAAATGAAAAATACTTATACCTGTTATTGCACTTCACGGATGTCACCTTTTTTACAAATTCAAGGCAAGACCCTCCACCAGCAAAAAGATTACGATTCACTTTATTGTGATACTAGCTTTATTGTAGTGGTCTGGAACTAAACCCGCAATATCTCCGAGGTGTGTGATGGTGTGAAGTAGGGGTCTAACATCACTCCTTTACATGTGGCTACCCAGTTGTTGAAAAGATGATTGGAATCCCCATAAAATTACTTGCCCTGATACCCTTGCTAGAGGCTCCTGGTTCTTACTGGATCTTTTGGTTTTTAGCTGTCATTGGAAAGCTCACCTTGTCATTTTTTTTTCACTCAGCCCACGTGTGGCTTCCCCATTTTTACAGCTGGCTTTCTGTTCTCTTCCTGCTGTCTCCCTTTTTACCTATCTCAATACTGGATCGTATCACTCTCATGTTCTGCTGTCTTTCTTGGTGTACGTTCTGGCTTCACACACTATTCCTTGGGGAAGGTCAACACCAGGCATTTTCTGTCAAGGAAACTGAGTCACACAGAAGTGGAATAACTTGCCTAAGGTTAAACAGAAACAGGACTAGACCTTTGGTCTTCTGGCATCCAGCCTTTTAAGGTGTCTTTAGTCATTATACTTAAGTGATGTCACTACCACGGCCAACTGATGGCAGGCTGAATTTTAATTCTAAAAATAATAGTAGGTTAATCTAATATTTTTATTTCTTAATTCTGAAAGACAGCCAAAGAGTCTGTTACCTTAAAAAATAGAAGAAAGAAAGAAAGAAAGAAAGAAAGAAGAAAGAAAGAAAGAAAGAAAGAAAGAAAGAAAGAAAGAAAGAAAGAAGAAAGAAAGAAGAAAGAAAGAAAGAAAGAAAGAAAGAAAGAAAGAAAGAAAGAAAGAAAGAAAGAAAGAAAGAAAGAAAGAAAGAAAGAAGAAAGAAAGAAAGAAAGAAAGAAAGAAAGAAAGAAAGAAAGAAAGAAAGAAAGAAGAAAGAAAGAAAGAAAGAAAGAAAATCCTGATGCCTGGATCTAAACCCCAAAGATTCTGACTTAACTGGTCTAGGAAATAACATAAGTTTTAAGATCTTCCGAAAGATTCTAATATAGATCAAGGTTGAGAACCACTAATTAAAGAGATACAGAGGTGTCTTACTTTAGGTAAACAACCTTAGGTTGGACTTTTTAGAAGTGTTTTCTATGTATCTTCTTTTAGGAAAATGCATAAAACCAAGCCACTCCTTATTACTGACTCATTTCAGGGATGATGAACATAAGATGTACACTAGCTAAGAAATCTAAACTTCATGAGGAAGGGACCTCATCTGCTTAATCACCAGTTTAACCCCAGTGCCTGGAGACAGCAACTCAATTTTCGTTTAAAAAAAAAAAAAAGAAGAGCAAACTCATTAACAAGCCTCTGCTTCCAGGCCTGGTTCCTTCTGTCTTCTTTCTGCCACCCTTGGACTATGGCTTCAAGGTACCTAAGATTATGCAAAGCAGCAGTTGGCAGTTTGCTGCCTCAGCCACTACCTGTTTTATTATATAAGGTTTTATTAAATAAAGTTTTACTGGAACACAGCCAGGCCCACTTATATACTGCCATATGGCCCACCTTAGGTTGCACTAAATATTTACTATCGAGCCTTTTAAGAAAAAGCTTGCAGTCTGCTAATGTAAAATAACCTGAAAAAAAGTAAAGACATATATCAAATGTCAACTTAGCAACAAGTCTCATGGCTGTAAAACGTGAGTTTAGCTATGGGGCAAACAGGAGCTCCTTTAGATATAAAAAGTGTTAATAACCTCTAAAAGGTTTTTAAGATTGGAGACACATTTTAAACCAGCAGTCACGGGATCCAGCAATACCTAGTTTCTTTGCCTGGCCAAAGCAGAGAATGCTTTAAGAAAGTAACAATAGGTAGAGATGAGGTAATAATTTATAGACCTAGAAGAGAAACTTAGGAAATTAACTTTCAACATAAACCACTCTGTATATCCACTACTCTTCCACAGATAAGCTGACATAAATGCAGAATGTCCTTGCTTCCAGATTCTCACCACTACAAAAACTGCCCCCGAGGCAGGCTGAGTGGCTCAGTTGGTTAAGAGCTCGCTCAAGAGTTTGAGCTCTGAGCAACAGGGTCCCCGGTTTGATTCACAGCCTGAGCTGAGCTGCCGCTGAGCTGCCAACAGGTGGCAGGATGGCTCAGCTAAAAAATAAATAAATAAAAAATAATAATATTTCCAAAAACTGCCCCCGGCCCCTGCCATGCTGAAGTGAAAAAAGTAACAAAATTAAAATTAAACTTTCTAAACAGATAAATTAATGAGGTAAAAAATAATTTCTCTCTTTAAAAAATTTCTCTTTGCCTCAAAGTTTCTTACAAAACCTGCCTCTGGCATTTAACATTATTCGATTTCCAAGTTTACTCAAAACAGTATTATACGTTAAAAGCTGCATAAAGTGATGGACTTCCTATCTAAAGCAGATTATAATTTGGGCAATATGATATAGGTCAGAGCAAGGACCAAGCAAGAGTTTTGTCCAAGACCTTTTGTTATAATGGGGGAAAAAGTCATTTTATTTGCATAGTGAAAATATCCACACTTTAATAAATTAATTTCAAAAACTAGCAGAAAGCATTTGAATATAAATTTTGTTCCCTTTGGCCTTTATTGAGATCAACTTCAATAACTGCTTTGGTGAAGCACAACATAAAAATCAGAACTGTAATTCCTGCTATAATATACAAAAAGCCCAATGTTTTAAAAGTAAAGACCAAAGCAAAAAAATGTTTTACTGTTAAACTACTGTACGTGATTGACATTTTAGATGTGAATACTTAATTAAGTCAGATTTTTAAAGTCTTGACATTTTTTTATTTATCTACAAAAATGTTTAAGTAGGTATGCCAATTTGGGCAAAAAACACTGCCATAGTACTGGACCAGGATTTATAACAACTGTAAAATTTATATGCTTAAATAGTCAGAAGTTAGATTTTTGCTTGTGTTTATTTTCAATATAGGAATATGCTATAAGTGTAATGACATCTTTAAAATAAAAGTAGCAGAGCTTACTATCTTTATTCTGTGGTTTTATTTTCTGATGAAAAGAGAGAAAAGATTATTGAAGATAAGAGATGCATAAAGGGCTAAAAAGGATCTAGAAAGGCTAAGTAATAGAAAGTGGAAGTAAAGGAAGGATATAGAGAAAAACAACCTTAGAGGTGGCAAGTAGTTCATGATATGTATGCAGTACCTTCAGGAGGCAGTGGGGGCGGGGCTACGCTTGATCATTCTAGTCATAAGATGAAATACAGGTGGTCACTTAACCTGGTCTATTTCTACATTCACTGACACAGAAAAATGTACACTGTGTAAAGTGTGTGTGGGTGAAGGACAGGTGAAAAAACATAAGATACAATCCTTTCTTTTAGAAAATTATACATACATCATGTATAATAGTATGCACATGCCTAGGTATTTTAAAGGATGTTAACTAAAATGCAAACACTGGCTAAAGAGGAACCTTCTTCTCTATTTATTTTGTATTGTTCAATGATCCTTTTTAGAATGAGTCTAAAATGAGTTTATTATCCTTATAGTCGGGGAATCCTCTCTTTAAAAAGTTAATTATAGGCCTATGATAAAGATGTCACTTCAATAATACCTGCCAGCCTTTTTTGTTAGGCAGGATCTATAAAGTAAATTAAAAACAAAGAAACAAACAAACAAAAAACCTCTTGTATGAAAGATCTCATGACAACCATCAAGCCTCAGATCCTACTCTAATCTGTATCATTCACAAAGCGGTACCAAGGGCAGAAACAGAGGACAAATCAACCATAAAAAGCATATGGAAAATCAGGCCCCCTCTTTAGTACAGAAAGCAGCCAGCATTCTTAAACTGTTCAATATACAATACTTTACTATGACCTAGTCCAACATTTTTCAAATTGTTTTCTGTTGGGCATTACAGTTCTGGTTGATATTAAATATATTTTGGGGAGAAGAGCAAACAAGCCACCAATCACATAAAGTATTATATGTTAGAAAAAAATTAACAGGAAAAAACATTAGACACACTTACATAGTTACTCCTTATTTCGGATAAAATGTTTGTTAGGAATAATGTGCCATTCAGAGAATGCCAGGCAGATGAATGACATCATACAAGGCATAAACACTTGTGTTTTCAATCTATAACTGATGCCCAGACGGCACTTAATATTTACCTACCCCAGTAAAGTATGTCTCAATTTGATGACTGCTGACCAGTTCTAACGTTATTTAGCATGTTATAAAATATAGTTATATATTTAATTATAATATACATAGAAAGTAGATACATAAAATAGTACACTTTTATAAATCATGTATGTAATATGTTTAATATATTAGTTATCATATTTAAAGGCAGGTATAGAGACATGATAGAGACATGATAGATGACTGATAAATATATGAAAGGAAGAGAGAGAAGGAGGAAGGCAGAGATGGGCAGACAGATGGACACTGAGCATCTTGGGTGTTTTTGAGTGTTAATGCTCCCTAATCAGCATTACCGGTCTAGATAGCAGAGCAATGTGGGTCACAATGGCCGGGTTCACAGGCAAATGAAAAGAAGCAAAGAAGCCAGAATGTTAACACTGGGCATCAGTATTAAAAAATAAACCCAAAGTTGGCAAACTCAAATTTTATAAATATTTATATTAACAAAACATGAAAAACATTTCTTCCTAAGTATCGCTTCATTCCCCTTCTCCCCAACAATGGCTTTTAGTGTTAGTTCAGTCTACCTTTCATTTTTAAAACTTTGAATAAACATGTTCAATGACAATGATTCTCTCTGGCAGCCAAGACAATTTTTTTTCACACTTTGTTCTGTTTTTAAATATTCTGAAGGGATGACATTTATTTTTTTAATTTTTAAAAATTTATTTTTCAATTACCATTGATATACAATATTATATTAGTTTCAGGTGTACAAAACAACATAGTAGACATTTACATAACTCACAAAGTGATAACCCCAATAAGTCTATTACCAATCTGACACTGTACATAGTTATTATATTATTGACTATATTCTCTATGCTGTACTATTATATATATCCCCGTGACTATTTTTTCCCAATTATAGTTGACATTCAATATTATTTTATATTAGTTTCAGGTGCACAGCATAGCGGTTAGACATTTATAGGAAGTGATCCCCTCAATAAGGCTAGTATTCACATGACACTATACATAGTTTTTATAATATTATTGACTATATTTCCCATACTGTACTTTACATCCTGTGACTATTTGTAACTACCAATATGTACTTCTCAATCCTTTCACGTTTGTCACCCAACCCCCCAACACCCCTCCCATCTGGTAACCATCATTTTGGTATGGAAGCAAATGAAATGCTCATCAATAGACGAATGGATAAAGAAATTGTGGTACATATATACAATGGACTATTACTCTGCCATAAAAACAGAATGAAATCTTACCATTTGTGACAACATGGATGGACCTAGAGACTATTATGCTAAGTGACATAAGTCAGACTGAGAAAGACGAATACCACATGATCTCATTTACATGTGGAATATGAAGAACAAAATAAAGGGATGCTATATTTTTAAAATTTAAGTAAAACAAGCCTCTGCCTAATTATCCAATTATAAGATATAACTATTGCTTATCCTTTAATCAACATCAAATCTCCAAGTTATTTAATACAAATTGTTCATTCACCTCTAGAACACTATACACATCAATTTCTGGTTCTTTAAAAAGTTCGACCTTAACATTTATACAGATACATTTTAAAAATTCTTACCCATATTGCAAGTTTAGCCTTATTTCCATCCACTGAAATTGTTTTCACCTTAAAGTCAACACCTTGAAAAAAAATGAAAATTTTTATAAGAACACCAGTAAAATATAGTTTTAAAATCAATTACCAAGCAAACCAGAAAACAGAGAAACCACATTATCAAATGCCCAAGTTCTTAGAGTTATGGATATGAAGATTAAAAAAAAAAAGTGTCACTAAAGTTCAGCAGCTTAGGATTTAATTAGGATAAATGAAAACCAGATGCCTATAGAATTCAAACTCACCTAATTGTACTTCTTGAAAAAATAAAAATTTTACTGAAAAAATAAAATTCAATAAAAGGTGGTGATGGACTATGCACATTAAAAGCCAGGAGCTAAAATTCACGTTGCCAAAGTAGACAAGACTATCTGTGGATGGCTGTGGATGGGGGCAATTTTCAGGGATTCCCGAAGCATCTACACACTATTATTAAGAGTGTTGTCCATAGCCAACCAACACAACACCCTAACTCAGATTCTGACTGTAGGCATCTGGGAGGACTGGTAAAACTATAAAAGGGCAACTCGCTTATTGTCTTATGAATTCTTTGTTTTTATCCTATAAAACAGAATTAGTTTTATATAGCCTTATCAATGGTCACTTGCTACCACACAAATTCAAAAAGAGAACTTATACATAAAAACATTTGTGCCCAAACCTCTAAGAATCTTCATAAGTGAAAGAGGGGTGCTCAAAGTTCTTTGAAAATCTTCTATTACTTTATGTAAAGCGAAGAAGTCTTAAGAAGTCACACATGATTTTACTACAGCAACCCCCCAAAAAGCCTCTCCTTTTCCAGGAAAACAAGTTGACACATGCCATCTGGCTTAAATGAACAGTAACTGCCCACAGTATCAAAAATAATATGCAGTCTACCCACTGGCCAGGGGGAAAACATTAGCTTAAGAAGCTTGGAAAGAAACTTTCAAAAGATCTTATTAGCTTGTCACAATTAATTCGGAAAGCCACAACTAAGATGAACAGCACCCGCATATACTAAATGCTTAGAACACCTGTCACCAACATGGAAATATATTAGTAATTCTAGGATGATTTCTGGTGATCCATTACACAAATTAGATAATAAAAATGCATTTCAAAATGTGCATTTTGCCAGGTCTTTCTGTACGCCAAAGATTAAGAGGAAAAAAAGTTTGGTTTTTTGGGCTAGAGTGATAAAGAAGTTGATAAAGCCATGCTTAGAATGATAGGAAATCATTAGTTAAAAGGACAGTGTCAATTACACAGTCTAAGGAAAACCTAAGTATAAAGTTTTTTGTGGCCAACAAAACAAAGAAAAAATCCCAAATGTTAAATAATCTTGTATTTACCACATCTAGATAGAAAAAAAAGTATGCCACACCATCTATACAAAGATATGAAATTATTTACATTTTATTCATACTGCCTTAAAAAACAAAACCTAAGAAAATGTGGATAAAGGAAATGGTTCTGACTTGGTACAAGTACTAAATGAAGACCACTGGTAGACATTACACAGAGATAGCCTGTCATACATATTCTACAGTTACATTCTCAAGGTTGTTCAAAAAGAACTTTTTTTCTTAATAACCCCAGACAACACGCTCAAGAGCAATCTGGCCTTTTTGCTAGCTACTAGCTAACTAGCTAACAGTTTACACCCCCAAAAGAAACTCACTGTTCCCAGAATGTTTGTTTTCCTCCCTTCCCCCAATCTCCTTTCTGATTTCCTGTTTTTTGCCTGTTTGTGGGCAGTCTAATGATTGTCTCAGTCATAGGTACAATTTGCATGTCGGTAACTGTCTCTAAGTTATTCTTCTAATATATTAGTATTAGACCTGAAAGTTACAGAGAACATCCTCAGGAAACAACGCCCACTGGAGTCCGACCATCAGAGCCAACAGACATGGGTGGTAGACTGAAAGGGCTCCTCATCTGGACTCAGTCTCCTTGAGTCCCCATTCCCCAGTCCTCTTCCCTTATTTACTCTGGTGACTCTCATGTGCTGACACTCAGCTCTTTAGCTCTCACATGCTCAAACTGCCTCTTCATCAACCCTGGTTCTTCCATTCTGCAAATGGCTATTAATTTGTCTTCATTGGTGGCATCCAACTACTAGATTTGATTAAACTATCTTTTCAACCTCCTCATGTGGATGACAAGGAGCTCATAATAGAAGCAGAATGTCTAGAAAAAAACATTACTGTGTTTCTCCTCTACTCCAACACTGAACACTTCTGTGACCAGAAATGTGGGAGGTTTTCCCACAACAAGCAATTCTCCAACTCTCCAGGGACAACAGCTGGGTGTCCTACAAGTGGTTCCAGTTCTGATACTATCTACCTGGAGTAAGAGTCAGATCCCACATGATAAGGGTTCAGTCCCACAAGACTGCCACACCTGCCAATTCAGATGTCAATTGCAAATCCAGGTTGTCAGCTGTGCTTCTGATAAACCAGCTATGAATCAGAGGTTCCCATGAGCCCCTCCTTGATTTGATTAATTTGCTAGAGCAGCTCACTGAACTCAGGAAAAAAGTACTTACTAGATTATCATTTTATTATAGAAGGATACAACCTGGACCAGCCAGATGGAAGAGATGCACAGGGCAAGGCCTGAGGGACGGAGCACAGAGCTTGCACGCCCTCTCCAAGCTCTCCATCCTCCCAGCACCTTAACGTGTTCCCCAACGTGGAAGCTTTTCCCCGCAGATCAAGAACAAAGCAAAAATGCCTACTCTCACCACCTGTACTTTACAGAGTACTGTAAGTTCTAGCCAGACAATTGGGGAATAAAAAAGGAAATAAAAGGCATCCAAATTGGAAAGGAAGTAAAATTATGTCTGTTTAAACACTCTTATATGTAGAAAATCCTAATGACTCTACTACACACACACACACACACACACACACACACACACACACACAGGAACTCTAAGAACTAATTATTTCAGCAAAGTTGTAGGATACAGAAACAACACACAAAAATCTGTTGCATGTCTATATATTAGCAATGAACAATCCAAAAAGAATGTTTTAAAAACACCATTCCATTTACAGTAACATCAAAAAGAAAAATACTTAGGAATAAATTTAACCAAGGAGGTATAAGACTTATACAATGAAAACCACAAACAATGTTGAAAGAAAATAAAGACATAAATAAGTGGAAAGACATACTGTGTTCATGAGTTGGAGCACTTAATATTGATAAGATGACAACACTACCCAAAGCAATCTATAGATTCAACACAATCCCCACAGAAATTCCAAAAGCTTTTTTGCAGAAATGTTAATGAAATGGCTTTTACACTCCACCTAAGGAGGGGGGCTGGTAGCCAGGAAACCCAACCTTGTGATTAGAGGGCTGGAACTTTCAGTTCCACAACCAACCTCGGGGGAGGATAGAGGGGCTGGAGGTTGAATCAAACGCCAATGGTCAATGATTTAATCAGTCATGCCTAGGTAATGAAGCCTCTGCAAAACCCCAAAAGGAAGGATCAGAGACTGCTCAGGTCTGTGGAATATGGCAACTAGGGAAGAGTGGCGTGCTTGGAGAGGACATAGAAGCTCTGGGCTCCTTCCCCAGGTCTTGCCTCATGAATCTCTTCCATCTGCCTGTTCCTGAGTTATATCCTTTTATAATAAACCAGTGATTTAGTAAAATGTTTCCCTGAGTTCTGTGAGCTGCTCTAGCAAATTAATCAAACCTGAGGAGAAACTCGAGGGAACCTCTGATTTATAGCCAGTCAATCAGAAGCACAGGTAACAAACAACCTGGGATTTCAACTGGCATCTGAAGTGAGGGATGGGGAGAGGGTAGCTCTGTAGGACTGAACCCTTAACCTGTGGGATCTGACACGATCTCTGGTTAGATCATGTCAGAACTGATCCAGCTGGTATCTCAAGAACTGGTGGCATGGGAACCTCCCCTCCACAGGAATTGGAATTAGGTCCAGGAACCCAAAAGAAATGGATAGACAAAATGTGGTTCATACATAAACAGAATGGAACACTATTCTGCCATAAAATGGAATGAAATTCTGACATACGCTACAACATAGATGGACCTTAAACATATCATGCTAAGTGAAATAAGGCAGTCACAAAAGGACAAATATTGTATGATGCTACTTATATGAGGTACAAAGAATATGCAAATTCAGAGACAGAAAATAGAATAAAGATTACTAGGAGTTGGGAGAATAGAGTGGGAGTTACAGTTTAACTGGTACAGAGTTCCTGTTAGAGGTGACGAAAAAGTTCTGGAAATCAACAGTGGTGATGGTTACAAAACAATGTGAATGTACTTAATGTTACTGAATTGCACATTTAAAAATGGTTAAAATGGTAACTTTTATGTTATCTATATTTTCTCACAATAAAAAATAAACAGATAACTGGAGAGTCCTATATCTATTAAAGAAATTGAACCTGCAGTTAACAGCCTTTCCATGAAAATAAACTCCGGGCCCAAGTAAATTATACTACACATTTAAATAATAATCTGTTCTAAATAAACTCTTCTAAGAAATTTAAGGGAAATGAATACTTTCTCACTCTTTGAGTTCTATTACTCTGATACCAAAACCAGAAAAAGACACTGCAATTAAAGAAAACTACAGACCAATGTCCTTCATGAACACAGATGAAAATCCTAAACAAAATTTTATAACTACGTATAAATATGTATAAAATATTTATAAAAGAACAAAACATCACAACTAAGTGGGGTTATCCCAGAAATGGAAGGCTGATTTAGCACTTGAAAAATATCAATGTGGGCTTTTCTATATTAAACTACAAAGAAATTTCATATAATTATCTCCACAATGCAGAAAATGCAACAAACAAAATTCAACATGCATTCCTGATAAAACTTTTCAGCAAACTGGGAACAGAAGGGAAGTTTTTCAACCTGATCTATGAAAAACATACAGCTAACATCACACTTAATGGTAAAGACTGAATGTTTTCCCCTTGGTATCAGGAACAAAAAAGAAGGGATATCAGTTCTTATGACTTCTATTCAACATTGTACTGGAAATTTTTAGCCAGAGCAATAGGACATATGGAAAGGAAGGATGTAGAAATCTAATGGAATCTACCGGGTGGAGGGAACAGCTCCTAGAACTAATAAGCAAGTTTAGCAAGGTTGGAGGATATAAAATAAACATTTTTTTAAATCAACTTTATTTCTATATATTAGCAATGAACAAAGGGAAATTGAAAAAAATCTCTAAATACCATTTTACATAGAAATCTATCTATGCAGCTGATTAAGAACCGCAGGTAATTACAATTACCTGTTTAACAATCATTATATGGCATTGCCATAGCAGAAAACGAAATTTAATACATTCTTTTTTTTAAACACTCCCATGTAACAAACAAAAAAACCTGGTCAAAATATTCTTGCAATTGTGTGTTTCTGTGTATTATTTTTATATCTGAAATGTTATCTTGAATTTTATCTTTAAATATTTGTTGTTTCATTGTTTCTTCTTCTGAGGCTCAAACATGCATATGTTGGATATCCTTTTCTAATTTCCATTTCTACCATTTTCTAATTGGTTTTAACATTTTAATTCATTTTGGTAAATTGTACCCACTTTGTCTGTTTCTAGTTTCCATATCCCTTTCTTGTGTTTACCAAGTCTCTGTTGGCCCTTTGGGACCCTTCTAATTTCATCTTCATTTCAGTGACTTTCTTATTTATTTTTCTTTCCCTTCAGTAAGCTTACGTTGCATTTGCTTACGTTGCATTTTCTTACGTAGTCACACTATCTCCTCCCTGGCCTCTTATATCACGGCTTTGTACTCTCAGCGGTAAATACTTCCATGAAGGTTTTAAAATCCATGACACAATGTTTCACCATTTTCATCTTCTTTACAGCAATATTTTTTTCTGGTGAGTAATCTTCATCTGTCCTTTGTGTTTCTGTTCCTTTTCTTTTTTCTTTTAAATTCTTTAACTGTGGCAGTGGCCCTGAGCTGAATTCCTTTTAATTTTTATCTTTGAAGGAGGTGGGCTTTTCATGGACAAGCTGTTTAGAGGAAGGTCATGCAGGAAGTCATAGTGGCTCCAGTTCTGAACCAGCTAAACTTTTTCTTGATTCAGGGTTTTACATGAGAATCATTTAGTTTTTTTACTTCTTATCAGCCAAAGGAGATAGGCAGCTTTGAGGTTTTTCCCAATGCAAAGGCATAGCTCCTTCCCTACTGCTATCAATACAGACAAAGACCAAGTGGCTTATTCATGTAACTCCTTGTTTGGTTTCGTCTCCCCAAATTCTTAGAATCAAACCAAGTGCAGGGAAACTCCTGCTATTAGCTCAAGAAAGTTTGAATTTTCAGTTTGAACATTTGAAATCTTTGATTTAGGAATGTGTTTCTTAATTTTCAGGCCCTTTTTTTGTTGTTGTTGTTTTATTTCTTATTTATTGGAAATGATTCCTGTTTGGAATGATTCCCGTTTTGCTTTTGCAAAAAAGGAGTTTGGGTTTTGCACCTCAGAGTGGGCCTCTCAACTTCATAAAGCATCTCTTGCTGGCGCTGAGCTCTGCAGCTGTGGCATCTTCTCACATGCAGCCCGCTTAACCTCCACTGCTTTTGGCAGCCATTCTGCCTATTTTGTGGCCTGGGGTTTTAGCCGTCTTCTAGTTTAGTGGAATATGGGGTTTGTGTTTTTAGTTTTTCCCTCTCTTTGTTATTAGCTAGCTGCCAGAAAACAAAAGAAGAAATGCCAACTTCATAGTACCATCTTCCAACCTTAACTCCAACAATTATCTTAAAGGAACATTTTCTACAAGACAGAAATTTAAGTGTCTCACCATATTCTTGAAAGATAAAGGTGTGCTTTCCTTAATATTTTACTGTGAGGTAAAATAAAACTTTTCCACAAAACACTAATTTTCACAAGGCCATTAACAATTGAGCTAATTGTTTTTATTTTAAAAACCTGTGTATATTGGTTATAAACTAAGACAGAAAATAATCTGATGCCTAAATGTAAAAGATGCTTTTCAGACCCAGGGTCCATTCGGGGAACAAGTTTATGTATAGTCTCATCAGTATGTCACAATCTTAATATTTGTTTTTAAAGCAGACAAAGCCTTTTCAGTCATCAGGGCAACACATAATCTGCCGTCTGCAAGTCCCCAGATTCTATTTCAGTTTGAAATGAAGATAAATAGTATTATATTATATATAAGATCTTTCCCTTAGTAAAATTTTAACTCTAGGAGAGTTTATTTTCCTGCCAGTTACTATTCTACTCCTTGCTATCCATTACCAGGCATATTCTGAGCAAAATGAAGCTAGACTACTAACAAAATTTTTAAAGCCAAATTAAAACAGATTTTGAGTTACTACTGTTTTAAATAATTCCCTCACACATATATAGAGTATATCTATAAATGTTTACATGGCAGACAAAAGCTAAGTAATGCCTGATATAATTTATTAAACATTTAGAGACACTATGAGTTCATGGTGATAGAAATAAACAAACAAGAGCTCTTGCTCACAGAATTCTACATAAGAAATTTAGACAGAATGATGGATTTCAGAAATCCCATGTGACAACCACCACAGTTGGAATGACAAGGTGACCCCCTTACAGTGGACAAATCTGGCATATATCACCTTAAGTAACCAAAGTCCCATCACCAATAATGGTACAAACACACACCATGCTCAGAGTGGCACTTTTGCAGAACTCCTGCTAAAAACGCATAACCTGAATCTGACCATGAGGACACACTGGAAAAATGCAATTGAAAGATATTATATAAAATAACTGACCTATGTACATTCTTCAAAAATGTCAAGGCCATGAAAGACAAAGGAAGATCAAAGATGTTCAGATTAAAAAGACTGAAGAGAAATGACAACTGAATTCAATGTGTGATCCTGGACTGGGTCCTGGACCAAAAACAATTCTTTTTCTTTTACTACATATAAGATATTAGTGGAACAACTAGTGAAATCTGTCTGTATATAGCAGAATTGTATCCATGTTTTTTTAGGGGTTACACAATAAAGTACTGAGGCTAAAAACATCATGTCTGCAATTTACTTTCAACAGCTTGAAAAAAAACAAGAACACCATGTGTATGTAGAGAGAGAATGATATAGCAAATTTGATAAATATTAACATTTAGCGAATCTGAATACACAGGAATTCTTTGTACTACTTTTATAACTTTTCTCTAGGTACAGAATTACTTTTAAAATAAAAAGGAAAGAAAAAAAAACAGACCCACAATAACTGAAAACAATAAAGCCAGTTAAGAATAACTATTTTCCCCTAACAATAATGCTAGGATCATCTTTACTACATTCTACTCACCAAATCACAGAATTTTAGAGCTGGAAGAAAAACATATCATCTCGCACCAAAACTCAAACAACAGATGAAGGCAATGAAGTTCAATGCCTTGCTCAAGATCATGACTAGTTTAAGGCAGAGCCAGGCTACTGTCCCACTCTGACTCAGCTCTTTCAACTATTGCAAGCTGTCTCTTGATACCTCCATACTGTCATGTACTCCCTAAACATGATACCAAACTATTTAGCTCTATCTTCTCATATATTGGGTTGTCGGAAAAGTCATGACGTATTTTTTTCTGTTTTTCGTTGCAAAAATGCGTCACGACATTTCCGACAACCCAATAGTTTAAGAAACTAGTATGGCAAACCATTCTCAGGCAATCTAAATTTCATTTTAAAAAGGCATTTAGGGGGCCGGCCAAGTGGCGCGTTGGTTAAGAGCTGGCTTGGGATGCCAGAGGGCCCCGGTTCGGATCCCCCATATGAGGGCCAGTGACACTGCCCTCTACAGCTAAGATGCTGAACAACAGCTCAACCTGGAGCTGGGCTGCCGTGAGTTGCTGGCGACGGCGTAGGCTGCAGCGGCTTGCCATGGGCTACCGTGTGTAGCCAGCAGCCAGCAGCCGCTGTGAGCGGCCGTCCAGAGGCCGGCGACTGATCTGCCTCGCCTGGGAAGAGCGCAATGATGGTGCCAACTTGGGCCAGTGAAGCAATGTCCTCAATAACTAGACTGAAGAACAAAAGGACAGCAACTTGTCTGTTCCCCTTCCCCCAATTCCCCAATGCTGTTTCCATCCCCCAATTCCCCAATAAAAATCTTAAAAAAAAAAAAAAAAAGGCATTTAGGTATCAGTGCTCCTAACAATCTTTAATAACTAATATTGATAAGTAATATTGATAAGTACGTTGTATTCAGAATTCATGCCAGATATTGTAGCAAATGCTAAAAATACAAAATTAATACATTCTATTGTTAGGCAGTACTGTTAGGTCCATATAGATAGGGACCTAAACTGTATTACTCATCATTATAACCCATCATTATAACCCACCTCTTAGGACAGTGCCTGGCATACAATAAATATTCAGATAACTGGATGTTGCTAAATCAAAGACAATCCACAGTACAAGAAAGAAACTGTATTTGCAGATAATCATAATATCCACAGTGTTAACGAAGTGCCATGAGACAACAGATAAGGAAGTTATTTTTGCTTGGTAAGATCAAAAAGGCTTCAGAAATGTTATGACACCAAAGTTAAGCCTTGCTAAACAAATAAGATTTCAGCAGACATAGAAGCAATGAGGTGGTGAGAGGAGGGTAAGGGGGAGTTAGAAAAACAGCCTGAAGGCAAGTAAATATTTGGTATTTCTATTAAATTTTGAAACGTAGGCTTACCTATTGTTGCTGCAAGTTCTGGATCAAAAGTATCATCTGTGAACCTCAAGAGCAGGCTAAAAGAGATGTTAAAAAGACACATTAGAAATTTGACTTTTTCTTTCTAATCCTTGATAACTGTTCATGATTGTTATATTTTGTAACGAATTAAATGTATCTAAGAATAGCTGATAAAAGTCTGCTCCTTAAATATTGCCTCAACGCAGGTATTTACAGAATTAAATTACTAGACAGGCAATTAAAGAATCCCAAAAGCAAAAGAGTTTACTAGAAAACATATTCCCCATGCTCTCTTCCACAATCCCCCAAGTGTGACATGTAGTACTACCTAAGTGGGATGAAAAGACATACTACTAAAAAGTGAAGGCAGAAAGATCACATGATGCCCAGGGTATACTATGGCAAATGTCATGCAAGGTATGTGAAATCAACAGGCAACAGGGAGCTACTAAAGGCTTTTAAAGAAAGGAATGGCTAGAACTGCTCTACATTTTGAAAAGTTAATGCCAGCAAAAAAAAAAAAAAAAAAAAAAGTAAGAAAATCAATACAAGGCAACTGCCACAGTATGGCAAAAGATTAACAAAGGCCTAAATCTAGGAAATGGTAAATAAACTAAAAAAGGAGTGAAATGAAAGCAAGACACCAACAGAAAAGTACTCTAAGATTTTACATCTCCCAGAATTATTTTATTTAATTATAAGTTATTAGAAGCTGTTCAAAAATAAAATCTAAGCCTTTGTTAAAGCCCTAGATTTATAAAATTAATCAATCTTCCCTCACCTTATCTCCTAAAGTAGGACAAGACTGTTCTATTGACCAGTCTGCATGAATAAAACAAAGGCAACAGCTATCACATGTCTGAATTGCAGAAAAACATTTCTATAAGTTGTAATTATTGCTGTTAAAAGAGATTTTCTTTTTTTTTTTTTGGTCAAGAGTATACTGCAAAGCATAGTGGCCTCCTGAGACTTCTCAAACCCAGTAAGTATCATTGATTATATCTGAAAAATTAACCTCCCTTTCTTTGTTTTGCTTTCCTGTGTTTACTGCAAAAACAAAGTAAAACAGGGAATCAAATTGTAGCTTTTTCTACCTAACACTGAACCTCCCTGACTATAACTATTTTTACTTACTTCCAACATGTCAGGTGAGTCCACTAGTAAGAATCTTAAAAAGACTACTTACAAAAATTTTCTTCTCTCCCCAACAGTAAACTTTAAATTAATACAAGTGAAAATTTCACCAAAAATTTCAGTCGCCCATAATTTAGGAAGAAAAAAGTTATGTATGTAAACTTGGTCACCACAGAAAATATTATTACAAAAACATAAGTTAACCTAAACTTCTGGAGTAGCAGTAGTAATAACAATACCTTAATAATACAAATAATAACAATAGTATTGGCTATTATTTACTGAACACCGACAACAATGGGCCAGATGCTGAGCCAGGGGTTTTCCTTACATAATTAATTGTTAATCCTTACAACAGCTTTTGTCATTAATGAGACTTTGTCAGATAAAGCAGGAATGGTATGGTGCAAAGTAACAAATTTTAACCCAGGGTCACTAGAAGTCAGTAAATCTTAGCCAGGGATACAGTGGTCGCTCAAAATGTATTCTAAATTCTATAGATGTATGTATTTTCCTAGGCAAAGTGTCCATTTCTCTATCAGATATTGAAAGGAATCCAAAATGTGAAAATGATTAAGAACCACTGCTTTATAGGATGTATATTTAAGCTTCCATATTTTCAAAGTTACTCCCCATGCAGAGCTATAGATGGAAGGAGTAACTACCATCATTCCACTAAGAGGAGACCAAATTTGTTAATAAACGGTGTGATTATAACTAATCTTCATTTCTTAATTTACAAATGAAATTAGCCAAAAAGGATGGGGATAAAGGGGCATAGAAGGGACAGCAATTTACATACTAGAAGATTTCTATAATCCTTGCCAGTTTCTTAAACACTGCAACTTCTTTACTTCACTAGGAATCAAGAATCATATACATTAACATTAAATAGGGTTTGAAAGATTTCTATTCCAACCTCATTTTTCAAATGAAGAAATGAAGGCCTAGAGTGTTCAAGCATCACACACAAGGTCACACCAAGTGGCAGCACTAGTTTCATAATCCTGATCTCCTGGCTGCTAACACACATGCTCATTACACCCTTAAGTGTAATGAAGTAAACTGGAAAAATAACCTACTAATACAAATTAGTTAAGGTATTTTTTGTTGTGCAATGATTTCTCAACAACACAAGTGATATCTCACTTCCACTAACTCTAGATCTGTAAAGAAACAGAAACGCACTATTGGTTAGAGAAGAACCCTTTAAGATTATATCCATGACATATGTTTTTCTACTTAGTTGTCTTAAAAAGCACAGGCTTCTATATATTTTAGTAGCCATTTATTCTCATCATATCCAGAAAAGTAAGTGTTCAAGGTTGTTTTCCATAGCATATTATATACACAGTAATGTATACCTAGCTAGAAAAATAGGACAACATTCTCTTTAAATGCAAACTTTCATTGAAAGCTACAGGTGTTAAAATTTTGCTGTGAGTTGATAACTCACCACTAACTACTGAGAAAAAGTCTGGAGCAGATTAGATCCAAATAAATTTGTTTGAGAGAAGGGAACTAAGGACATCAATAAATCCACTTAACATATTTGAAAGAATAACCTCAATTATGTCAACACTGTACCTCCAATTAACCTTCCAGAAAATTTTAACATAGCTTAACTAATCATCCATACATTTACAAAAAGTGCCAACCAAACATGTATTGGGTTCAACCACATAATACACAATACACAACCATTACTGACTTCAAAATCAGCAATTCCATATGCGTTAACTTAAATGAGGGTCACATCTCAAGGAAAAAAAGAAAGGTCACAAGGCTATGGAATTACTATTAAGACAATGTTAAATATACTAACTTCTTAATCCTCAAATAGAATAGGTGGTGATCATGTAATGATTTTATTCAGCCCTCTAAGTAACATACACACACAAATCGTGTTTCAATAATGTACTCCTTGTTATGTAAAACTCCCTTACTCCAATATACATATAGAACATGAAATGAGGAAAACTATGAAAATGTGTTGTCATACTTTAATATATTAAATTTCAGAACATATTACTGAATAAGATTTCAAATCCTGGAGTATTTAAAAAAAGGTAAGACTTTATGAAGCGACTTAAAAGATAAGTTTATCAGAACGAATAGCTAAAATGTGAAATCGCTTGCAGCTTCTGGAATTTGAATATTGTTTAAAGATCAAGGCAGCCTACGATATAACCTACTCATAATCAGACGGCAAGGATGACTTGACCCAGAGAACTTTGTTCTAAGAACCTGGATGAAATCACTACCCTCTTGCAACACCCACCGAGCTCCGAGTCTTACCTTATATCCAACTCTAAATATTGTCAATATTATTTCCCCCTCCAAGAAACGTGTCAAGAAAGAAAAGGCACGATACTACTTTGTTCTTTTACCTCTGGATGATGTGGCAGAATGAGAATAGTTACCCTTTATTTTCAAATTACCCAAATTTTCAAAGGCGGTCCACAGCTTAAGCTCTAGCATCTTAGACCAAAAGGAATTATTCAGGTAGTCTGAAGTTCTTTCACCGCTGACTCATAAAACGAAAAAAACATAAAAGGAGCGGCAATCTGGTGCACCAAAATAGGCCAGGAATGTGACCCAAAGCGTCACGAAACTTCCTATGCAGAATACTGGGTATTTAGAGAAAGCACGACAGGAATCCCAAAGTGGTCAAGTGACAACTCGAGAGGGGGTGACAGGTCGCCTGAACCCAGAGGGGCCGAGAGGAGGCCTCGGCGGGACTCGGGCCCAAACCCGCCCGCCACGCCCTAGGCTCCTCGGCCGCAAAACAGCCGGCCAAGTGGCGGCCCTCGGAATAGCTTTTTCCTCTTGGTGCGACAGGACGGAGTAAAAAATCCAGGGAACTCGGGTGCGGGAGAGGCCGAGAACCAGGCCGTCGCGGGGCTCAGGGGCCGCAGGACCGCGCGGCGGAGAGGCCCGGGAAGGCGCGAGCGGAGCCCGACCCAGACTGGCCGGAGCCCGGCCGCCACCGTTTACCGTTCCCGTCGCGGCCCAGGAGACAGCGGCAACCGAGGCAGAGGGAGGCCTGCCGCCCGCGTCACGGCCCGCAGACCCGCCTCACCTGGACTTGCCCACGCCACTCTCGCCGATGATGAGAATCTTCAGGGTGGTCAGCACGTCCTCGTCCATCCTGACCCTGCTCCACTCCGAGCCCAGCAGCTCGGGTCTGGCTCTCAACCGTTCACCAGGAAAAGCTGTCCGCGCATGCGCGCTTCTCCGCGGCTGCCACCTTTTCGGTGTTTAGATCGCAGAAGCCGGGTCGGCCCATTTCCGCCTTGAGGTAGCTCTGCGTCTGCGCAAAGCCAGAGCCCCAGACGTCGTTCCGGAGAGCGTGTCATCCCTTGCGCAAGCGCAGATGGGGAGAGCCGTGTGTGATTTCACCCGAGTCCGTAGGCTGTTGCTCCTCCTACCCCTAACCTAACCGTGCTTCAGTGGTGTCCTTGGGAAAGCTGAGTTGGAGGAGTGTAACGCTCTTTTATTTCAGCAGCTGCTCCTAACAGCTTGCATTGCAGTGAAAGAAGAGTTGTGGTTGAAGGCAGATGACTTTAAATTTAGGTCCCAGCTCTACCATATAACCGCTTTGTATTACCTAGCCTTCTGAGCCTGTTTCTTGTAGACAGTCAATGCAATAATACGTTTTAGAATTGTTACGAAGATTAAATAAGTTAGTTTGTGAAGACACTTTGTAAACTCAAGCGCTCTATAAAAAATGTGATTGGGTATTGTTCACTTCTTGGCTTATCTATTAGACTGAAGAATACCCCTCACATCTCAGTTCATCTTCAAAGGAAAATGTAAACTTCAGGTAGATCAGGTGCATACAAACCTTTAGTGGTGCAACTTCAAACCAACTATTACTCCTTATAAGAACTGCTACACCACAACTGCAGGAATTGTGTCTCCTTCATTGAGTCGTAAATCTTAGTGAAGTTACCAAACCGTATACATAATACCTAGCAAAAACTCTGGTAACAAGACAGACACTAAAAAAAAATTAGTTCTTGTTTTTTATCATCTTATACCTGCACCTAGTGCCAGATTAATTGATATTTCATTAAAGAATACATATTAATAAAAGTTAGAATAAATTTAGAAATTAATTTTTTAAATATCTGGAAAAGCTCTTTCATTTGATGTTCAAATGGCTCCTTCACCTCTTTCAGGTCTTTGCTCAGATGTTGTCTTCTTAATGAGGCCTTCACTGTCCATACTACTAAAATCTGCAAATCCTGTCAACATTCCCTATACGTCTTCGCATTATTTTTCTGCATAGCACTTACCGTCTTCCAAAATACTAGATGTTTTACTACTTTATTTGTTCACTGTCTAACCTTCCCATAAGAAAAGGAAAGCTTCATGAAAGCAAGGGTTTTTGTCTGGTTTGTTATAGACTCTATATTTCTGGCATATAATATGTGCTAAATAAATATTTGTTGAAGGAATTAATTGAATGAATGTTCTCGAGTCCATTCCTAACTTTGGAAAATGATGGCAACCAGACAACCTCAACCTCTCATAAAATAGTTCTTGAAACCTCAGTCAAGTCTATCCAAGCTATAGCATCAAGAGCTTATTCGTGAGGTTCACATTCTTGTAATGCTCTTCCTCTCGGGGCAGTAGTTCTAGAAGTGTAGTCTGCTCATCCCTAGAGATCCCTTTCAGGGGGTCTGCAAGGTCAAACTATTTTCATAATTATTCAAGATGTTATTTACTTTTTTCACTCTTGTTCTCTGATACTACAGTGGAATTTTCCATAAATTGTGATAACAAAACAGATTGAAGGCAGGGCCAGATATGAGAATTTAGCTCTCTTCTATTAAGCCAGATCTTAAAGAGATTTGCAAAAATGTTAAATAATGCCACTCTTCTCACTAATTTTTGTTTTAAAATAGTTATTTTCATAAACACATGAGTTTATTTTTTAATGAATTAATACATATATTTAAATTTTTCTCAGTTTTAATTTCTAAGTAAATATTAATCGATACAGCCACATAATCAGCTCTTTCAAATCCTCAATAATTTGTCAGAGGATATAATACTTTGTACAGCCAAAAGTTTGAGAACTGTTGTATGGTACTATTCACAGTAATTTTAATAAAATTTTAATAACAGGCCTGGATGTATTGATGCTGCATGTTACATCGTCAACCTACTCTGGCAACATTATATTCTCTTAGATTTTCTCCTACCTCCTGACCACTTCTCAGTGTTTTGTGAGATCCTCATGCTCATCCTTTAAACATTTTTGTTCTTTGGTTTTTTTGTCTGTTTTTGTCTTCTTACTCTACGCACACATTGTCTTCTTGGACTTACATGCCGTCTTCATCCCACTTAATTTGAAGAGTCCCAAAGTTGCATCTCTAGCAGAGATTTCTCTCCTGAGGTTCAGGCCAACTTACACAATTGCCACATCATCTCCACGTAGGTATGCTAGGTGAAGAATGCCAAGTGAAACATGACTGAACTCATTATCTTTCGTTCTATACTAGTTTTTTTTTTCCTGATTTCCTTTTTAAGGAATGACATTAACACCCATTTAACTGCCTCTCTCTCACTTCCCACACCCAAACATTTAGTCCTTACAGTCCTACCTTAAGCATCCCAAAATTTATCCACTTTTTTTCATCTCTACCAGCTGCTATAGTTAGGTCTCATCATAATCTTTTTGCTGGATTACTTACCCTATCAGCTGCCCAATGGGCCTGCCAGCCTCCATTCTTCTCTTCCTTCAGACTCTTGTCTACACTGCAGCCAAAGTGGTATTCTTAAGATGCAAACCTGGTTGGGTTATCCCACCTTCCATGTACTGCTCACAGCCCTTACAAATGTTTATTACCTTATCGTTAAGCCCTGATTATTCCTCCAATCTGATCTTTTGCATTCTATGTCCTGGCCAAATTAAACTTCTTTCATATTTTCAATGAACCATGTTTTACTTGTCTCCAAGATCTTTGCGTGTGTTATTCCTTCTTCCAGGAGCACTCTTCTGTCCCCATCCCTCCCATCCATGCACAAACTCACACACAGCAACTCCTACCCATCCTGCATGTTCCACCTTTTGGATCCCTTCCTCTGTGATTGATGCAGGATGATTTAGGCATTGACACTGGGATTCATGGTCTCATGAAGCTGAAGGATGGAGACACGGACCAGAGACGTAAAGTTTCAGCAAAGGACAGTTTATTAGAGTAAAGAGATACAGCTCTCTAACAGAGAGGGAGCATTTGAAGCTAGAGTGTCCGCTGACTAGCGGGAAGGCTTCTGTTTATATGCTTTTCCTAGCCTATCTGGGGAGAAAACTGGCACCTGCTTGAGCAGGTTAGATTTATTTCGTTGGCTGTTTCAGCCTGGAGGAGGCTTTTTAGGATAGTTTTAGTTGCCTCAGGGTGTAATTGATGTCTCTGGTCTGGTAGGAGTAAATTGTCTCAAGGCTATGGCTTTTGGGGTCAGGGCTGAGGGCAGAGGCCTTGGAGATATGTTTATCTTTTGTTCATCATACTTTGAAATTTCTAACTGCCTAATTGTTACACTAACTAACCTGTCTTATGATGACTTCCCTGGCCTCCCAGGTCAGCATTGTATATTCCTCTGATGTGTTCTCACAGTGTGCTATGCATCCATTGTGGTATGTGCTCTGTGGTGTTATAATAGTAGGTTTAATTGTTTGTTCCCCTGCCAGAGTGTGTCCTTCACTCTGGTGAAAGCAGAATTGATTAATGTCTTGTTCATTGTTCTGCCCCCAACATCTAGTACAATGCCTAGCCTAGAGTAGTTGCTCAAAAGATTTTAATAAAAGAAAATCCAAGTCAGGATGGCCGAGTGATGTGCTGGTTAAGAGTTGATTTGGGACGCCAGCTCTGAGAAGCAGGGCCCTGGTTCGGATCCCACATGAAGGGCCAGTGATGCCATGCCCTCTACAGCTAAGATGGTGAATAACAGCTTGACCTGGAGCTGGGCTACCATGAGCTGCCGTGAGCGGCCGCCCAATGGCTGGCGAGCGACTGCCTCACCCAGAAAGAGCGCAATGATAATACCAACATGGGCCACTGAAGTGACAAAAGGACAGCAACTTGTCTGTTCCCCTTCCCCGATTCCCCAACGCTGTTCCCCTCCCCCGATTTCCCAATAAAATCTTTTTTTAAAAAAATCAAGTCAACAGCAGGAATTTGAAACAGTAATCTGCTTTTTTATTTTTTGTTTATATAGGTTAGGCTGTCTCTCTAATCTTAATATTGAACATTATGGGGAGGGGGGGAACCTTCAATAACTCATAATGCACAACCATTACCAGCAACTGCTAGTAAAGAAGTGAGCAGTCATGCACAGATAAGGCAAAATAGTATTTTTTTGTGCTAAATGGGTGATACAGACAATAAATGCTCCAGAAATTTAGACAAGAGTAATCGGTCACTGAAGTTTAGGGCAACCAGAAAAGGCTTCATGAAGGAAGTAGGACTTGAAAGAAGGATACATTTTAGACAGGTACAAGAAAGGGTGCAACTCTTCAAGCAGAATGAATTTAGTAAAAAGGCATTAGGATGATATGCAATGGATGATTTTTTTTTTTTTTTTAGCTGAGCCATCCTGCTACCTATTGGCAGCTCAGCGGCTGCTCAGCTCAGGCTGGACTCGAACCGCTGTTGCTCAGAGCTCAAACTCTTGAGCGAGCTCTTAACCAACTGAGCCACTTGGCCGGCCCCAATGGATGATATTTTAGATTGATAAGTCTTTCTAGGTATAGGAAGTAATTAGGGAAAGGGCAGGCATAACGGCCCGGAGACTTCATAGGAGTCTACTGGAAGACATGAACGTGGTGGTGGCAGCGGGAGCTGGAAATGGAGGGCCATATAAAGAGACACGAGGAATACCAATGAGGACAAAGAGAAGAAAAGGGAAAGGAAGATATCAGATATCTCTCTAATGTTTTAAACCTCAGTGCCATGGATAAGAAAGAAAACTCATGACAGAAATGAGGAGGAAAATGAGTTAGGCTTTAACCATGTAGAATTTTACGTGAAGGTGGGCCTTGGAAGCAAAATTTTTCAGAACTCTTTTAAGGCTGTGGTTCTGAAATCCAGAGCAGATAACAAGACACCAAAACAGCAGAATCAGGAAGATGACATCCCTCACAGTGATCTGACCAGGTGTGCTCTGTTCCCCATATACACTATTGTCCTTAAATCCCTGGGGAAAAAAAGTCATTCATTCTTAGGCTTTGGGCATAACTTATTGTCCTTTGTTTTATGGATCATCTGTTAGTGTTAATTCTTTCTGCCACATTCAGAAGATA